ACCACAGCAGCCAGGGTGGGACTCACGCCGCGGTCGCGGACACAATTCACACCAACGGTCACAAATAGTTGGGAAAAAGAATATGAAAGGGAATAGATAGCGACACTCGGCGCCACATACTTTAGTTCAACGTGCGCGGAAACGAGTGACGGTCACACATCGAAGGTGGTTCGCACTTGCCTGTAGAACACATGGTTTATAATCCTCCTCATCCCTCCTCTTGCTGCCGCCGGCCACTGCTGCTGCTGCTGCTCTACTGCTTCTACTGCTTGAAAGCTGCATGCACACAAGCACGAAACTCATCCGCACGCCATCGTCACGTGTATGGCGTGTGTGCACGTGCGCGCGCGCGTTGTGGTGAGTGCGTATGCGTGCGCGCGCGTGCGCTCATGTGTGTGTGTGTGTTGTGTGTTGTGTGTGTGTGTGGTGTATGTGTGTGGTGTGTGTTGTGTGTGTGTGTGTGTGTGTGTTGTGTGTTGTTATGTGTGTGTGCTTGCGCGCGCGTGTGTATAACCGCGGCTGGCGGAAGAGAGATATGGTGTCATATACTCGTGCCTCGCACCTCCTGGATGCGCTACGTCAAACTCGCACTTACCCCCCGCTTCCACACGCAAGGAGACGCGTGTACAACCATAGTAGTCAGCCATAGCAGCTGCAGCAGTCGCAGTAGAAATAACAGCAGTAGAAACAGCATTAACACAGCAGTGCCTAGTACCGAACAACAGTATAGTAACACCTCCAACAACAAGAATAACAACAACAACAACAACAACAACAGCAGCAGGCAGCCAGCAGCAGCATCAACACACAGTCACAGTAGCAGCAGAAGCACAGCAACAACAGCAGCAGCAGTGGCAGCCACAGCAGCGCAGTAGCAGCCTTAGCAGGCAGCTCAGCCTGCAAGAACCAGCAGCAGTAGTAGGCAGCACTTGCAGTCGCACGAGTAGCGAATGCAACGGCAGCACCGGTGACAGCCTCAGCCACTGGCGCCGCACCGTCGCAGCAGCAGCAGCGCCCCCATACAGCCGAGCGTCTTCGGTAGCCAGGTAATACCGATGCAGCAGTGACAGCGAACGGTCGACATTCTCACACATCTTCTCTCCCGCCGAAAAGTTCAGCATGGATGGAGGAGGACGCGCCAGATCCGAGGAGGAGGGTGGAGCGCGATGCGGGCTCGCGGATGCGTCTCTTCTCGGCGTCCTCACTTCTCACCATCTCGTCCTCTCGTCATCGTCTGCATCCTTCTCGCGTCATCTTTCGCTCGCGCTAGCAGCGACGATGCGAAACAAACGAACGGCGTCCGGCCAGTTTCTCTCAATGCAACCACCTCCTCCTCACCTTCTCCCCGGAGAAAAAACGCCGAGAGACCGTGGGATCTGAGCTTCCTTTCTCGCTACTCTCGCGGCACTACGACCTCACGCTGCAGGCATTCCTTGGCGACCCGGACACCTTCAGGTTCTTCGCAGCGTCAACCATCACCGTCGCCGTCCTGTCTCCGACGTCGACGATACGTCTGCACGCGAACGAAGTTGACGATAGAAAGTGTCGGCGTGGCGGGGAACGACAAGCGGCAGGTTGTCACGCTGTCCGTGTAAGAGAACACTCACATCGATACGCTGGCGACAGTTTCGTCGTCATAGACACGCGCTAGGAGCTGAAGCGGAGGAAGCAGCATCGGTGTTAGGGTAAGCTTCAGCGGGCGGCTGGGCATGGACCTGAGAGGTTTCTACGTGGTGCGCATACGCGGATGCGAAAGGAATACCCCGGTAACGTATGTGTCTTATAGCCCGCGCAGTCACAGTTGTAAATTGTTGTAAACGAGATAGATGAGCGGAGCAAGGGGGAGGAAGAGAAGAGTTTGTGAGTGAGAGTGAGAGAGAAGAGAGAGAGAGAGAGAGAGAAAAGAAAGAGAGCAAGCAAGGGAGATGCGGGTGAACGAGAGAGGGGGGAATAAACACGCGCATAGGAAGGAGAAAGACAGACAGACATAGGGAAGAGAGAGGGGTGAGAAAAGAGTATTTAGAGAGAGAGGAAGAGAGAGAGAGAGAGCAAGAGAGAGAGAGAGCGAGAGAGAGAGAGAGAGAGAGAGAAGAGAGAGAAGAGAGAGAGAGAGAGAGAGAGAGGAGAGAAACAAAACGCGCGTACAAGAGGAATGGAAGGAAGGTTCAGAATCAAATACGCGTAATAATAGCAATATGAGATTATTATGCGAAACGAGAAACATGGTGACACGGCAAGTTTGATTAAAACAATAACCTATTAACGCATAATATACAATACAGCAGGAGTGTCATAATAAACTATATATATAATAATATAGTCATATGAGATGACACGCCTGACTATTATATAGTATTATACGTAAGATAATAGTCGTAAAATCATTCGATGGCTATTAGCATGTATTTTGAATTATGCCGCTGTCATAATATGCTGGTTAGCATTGAATATTGCCTCAAATATTAGGCATAAGATCACAGATTTAGTACTTGCGATTGTAACGCAGAGAGACTGCTTACGATTTACGGATATTTGAATCGTATCTATGTCGCGGCTCATACTCAGACGCTCTGCTCCATTTCGCAGACAAAAATAAACATTGTGTCGATTTCGATCTAGAGCCATCGACTGAATTAGAGCTTACACGTGTCATTTATTAGCGGCTAATTACCGAAGGATGTATCAACACCTTCATTTACTTGTAGTATTTTTGGCAAACAACAACACATTTTTTAGATCACGCGCCATATGTTACATGTTCATTCACGCTCACATACACACGCCCACACACTCTCACACTCACACACACGGGCACACACCGTCACACACACACACACACACACACACACACACACACACACACACACACACACACACACACACACACACATACACACACGCGCGCGCGCCCAACGAACAGGACATAGGCCGTGTATGCTATCGTCAACTATCCCATGTCCGTTATCTCGGTGTCCACTCCCTGTGTCCGAGATTCGCCACCACCCAACCCAAACGCTGACCTGACGCTGCCATGCCACTATAAACAAACAAACGTCTAGAATATGAATGTATGAATATTCTATGCATGTAATCTTTTCATGATACTAGCTAGTACATCGTTACATCGCTATATCTTCACATATTTTATTCATATATATATATATATATTTATTTATTTATTTATTTATAGCATATTTATACATAATATGTAATATATATATATGGGAACATGGGAACTCACATTTATTTTATTCATGAGTAAATAATGGGGAAGTAGAGTAGGACAGACACGCCAAAACGATGGCGTCATTCACTATACTAGCCACTATTATACTGAACACATCAAAGTCTACATTAAATAGCTTTTGCCTGCCCTTTTCATTTATCATGTGTAACTAGATAAACATGAACATACACTTAGAAAACGCAACTAACCTTTTCCATGTTCGTTTTACCATACACATCACAATCCAAGGATACAGATGCAAATGATGACGTGATGCAACACAATGCGTCAAATCTGCTCTTCCTAGATTATCACCTGGGGCCGGTTTCACGAAGCGTAATTAAGTCCTTAATCATGATTAAATCACTAATCATTATTAACTTCCCGTACTTAAATTGAAGTGACTGTTTCACGAAGCGTAATTAACTTTAATCATGATTCAGTTAATCACAATATTTAATTCTACTCAAGGGCATGATTAAATCCACTAATCATAATTAGTTGCTAGTACTATAAATAGTATGTAGGTAGTACTGGTACATTAAGTACGCTGCAGATTTTACAATTGGAAATTTTACTTCAATTTTTTCCAAAGAAAATTTAAATTATCTAAGATTAGCTGTACTAATTTAGTCATTATAATTGCAAACTAATTCCTTTTCATGTACCGAATTTGCAGATACTTTTGGCGTTGTCCGCCATTTTTAATACAGTGTAATTCATGTTTAAGTCGGCTAATTATGTGATTAGTTAAATATGTACTTAAATCGCTTCGTGAAAAAAAAATTTAAGTACGATTAACTAATCATAATTACAGGAAGTTAAGTATGATTAGTGATTTAATCATAATTAAAGTTAATCACGCTTCGTGAAACCGGCCCCTGTTGTATAAAGCGTAATTACAATGTCCATTCCCATTATTTACTTCTGATTATATTAGATACCCGACATTCTCTCTCTCTCTCTCTCTCTCTCTCTCTCTCTCTCTCTCTCTCTCTCTCTCTTTCTCTCTCTCTTCTCTCTCTCTCTCTCTCCTCTCTCTCTCTCTCTCTTTCCTCTTCTCTCTCTCTCTGTCTTATCTCTCTCTCTCTATATACATCACACACATATATATATATCTATATATATAATATATATATGATATAATATAAATTCATCGTTGTAATAGTTATTTGGTTATATTACAGTCACACAGTTATATCTTTCGTAGTATGGTTAAACAGTTTGTACTCGATTTTCGGGTCTCAGATAATATAAACCGGCGCCTGCGCTTAAAGACGATCATATACTTTTGGAAAACAACGTCTTTCGTGAACTTGCGCCACGTTGCTGTCCTGCTCACCGCTTAATCGAAACACATTCTCATGGAACTCGACATGTCCAACACTCTGTCCCAATGAAGAGGGGACTACTGTGTTAAGTGCGTCGACCGAGAGACGTGTGTAGTGTGCGCGTCAGTAGTATTATTTCACTGCTAACATCTTCATCTGCTAGCGAGCGCGTGGCGATGGCTATAAACGGAAGCCACGTCAAGAGATAAAGCGACGACCGCGTATCTAGCGAAAGTATATTGAAAGAATGCAAATGATAACGAGCGAAAAGTTCGATATAGGAAGAAATTATCGTTGGTTTCTATCGGCAGCTTCGTCGCTCGACGCAGTTTCAGCGCGACGTTTGCTCGGGCGGGGCGTTCCCGGCTTTGACGAGCCGAGGCCTGAAGGCGACCTTCACGAGTGACGCTCATCCGACGCCGTCAACTACGTCCCTCTCTCTCCAACATGGACGTCGCACAAGTCGTGCAGCTGTGAGTGTCGGTGTGTGTGTGTGTGTGTGTGTGTGTGTGTGTGTGTGTGTGTGTGTGTGTGCCTTGTCTGTGTGGGTGTTACTCTGTTTGTTTGTTTGTGTGTGTGTGTGCGCGTGTGTGTATGTGCGTACGTGAGTATATATATATATATATATATAGTATATATATATTTTATATCATGTATAGTATACTGTACATGTAATTGCGACATGCTTCGGTAATTGCTAACCCCATCACGCTCGTCTGAAGTTGACCGAAGCCACCGCGAGCAGCTCTGATGACAATAGCAGACAGCGGTCCGCTGTAGAGTCAAGAGTGTTCACATGGCTGCACTTTCAACCAGCCTTTCACTACGTAACAGTAGACAATAAAGAGACGGGGAGCTATAGCATTGTGGTGTAAGAGTCAATAATGCTGAGAGGGTCTATGTCCCCCGGGGTACTGCCGGAACGTACCCTGTACTATCTAATATGCCGACCGTACCTCGCCTACTCCACTAACGAGTCTAGGGAGGCGCCTACGCCTACTCCCTAACCCTAACCCTAACCCTAATCCTAACCCTAACCATATCAAATAGTGACGCAGGGTACGTTCCGGTATACCGGCCGTACCAGGGTACGTTCCGCAGTACCCTGGGGGACATAGACCCTATGAGCATCAATAATGAGGACATCAACGCCCCCTCAACTCCCCCGATACTTCTTGGTGGTGGACAGTGGAGAGATAGAGAGCGATAGCGTTGTGATACAGAGTCAGTAGATTATATGTCACCGTCCGTTCAGCCAAGCTATGGTCTCATGACGGTGGGCAGTTGCTATAATTATGCCTCATAGAAGCAGTGGAGAACCTAATAAACTTCCGCTGACCTCGTGGTGGTGGTGGTCAATAGAGAGATAGAGATGTCTTTGTACAATAACCGCTGTTTCTCTAAAGACTAGTAGAGTATGTCACCCTTTCGTACTTCAACCCCCATCCACCAGCTTTCTGAGCTTATGGTGGTGGCCAATATCTGTGCAGATGTGGCATGCAGGCAGTATAATAATAATATTAATAAATAATACAGTAAAAATAACGTGGTAAATACGTCACAGCCCCTTCCCACACACCCCGTGATCGCCCGTTGACCTCATCACGACCTCGCGCGCGTGCAGGAGCATTCCCGCGCTTCCTCTATCTCATCTCGTGTTGGCAACGTTCCAGGGATTCTCCCTCGTGGATGGCGGATGTGTACGAGCCAACGCCCCCCATGTCGACCTACCTGCTCGCCTTCACCGTCTGCGACTTTCCGATGCGCCGCCTGACGACAGCAAGCGGAGTTAATGTACGCGTAGGTTGAGTTAGCTACATAATGATACTTGTTTAATAGTCTAATATTAATATTATTTATAGTTTATTAGTGCATCACGTGATAAATCGTTGAAATTCCATTGGGATAAGCGAGCAGGCACTATGAAGCAATAGTGCCCGGCTGAGCGGCACTATTTGCTTGCGCGACGGCATTGTTATTATAACGCATTGTGTTTACGTGTCACGAATCTCCTGCGTCTGGGCGCCACTGCAGAGTTTCGAACGGCGGTTGTGTTTGTGTCGAACGTTTTTATTACATCGAATGCACCGGCAAATTAGGGAGTATAAAGAAGGTAGTATAAGCATGAAAAGTATGATTGCATTAGTCTATGTGATGCACTAAAAACATTAATGCCTGTTGTTGGGCGCACTATGCTGCTCATGTGTTGCTTTGGGAAGGAATAGTGCCTCGCTACCGCTCGGCACTATACTTGCCCTCAGCAACACTATGAGAGCATAGTGCCCCCAACAGCAGGCATAATATATAAATATGAACTATGACAATAATTATATATTTAATAGCCTGCTGTTGGGGGCACTATGCTCCTCATAGTGTTGCTGAGGAGGAAATGGCCGAGCGGTAGCGAGGGCACTATTCGCTTCCCCAAGCAACACTATGAGAGCATAGTGCCCCCAACACAGGCATTAATGTTTTTTAGTGCATCACATTGACTATGGCGAATCTACTTTTCATGCTATATACCTCTTTATACTCCTAATTTGCCGGTTGCATTCGATGTAACAAAAACGGTTGCGACCACAAAACAACAACCGCTGTTCGAAACTCTTGCGTGCGTGCGCACAGGACGGCAGAAGATTCGTGATCGTGAACACAATGCGTTATATAACAATGCGTCGCGCAAGCAATAGTGCCGCTCAGGCGGCAGCTATTGCTTCATAAGGCCTGCTGCGTTATTCATGTGAATTTCAACGAATTTATGCAACGTAATGCTCAGCTAATTACGTAATATATATAATATATATATATTTATATAATAATGATAGATTATAATATAATATGATCGAGTATAAACATGTATTATAAGGTAAGATAACTTGATGTTGTTTATGAAATAGTAACATGTTAGTAATAGTTTATACTTATAGTCGTTATTTATACATGTTAATTTATACTGTTACTATGAAAAATGGCTATATATTATGTATTTTATTAATTGTCATTTATAGACAATTTAAATGTACTAGCATACTGCAATACACCTGTAATACTTATACACTGTCATGCGCGGCACACATCATAGGTTAAAGGGTGTGGCGCGCTCAGACGTCATTAAGGATTGCTAGAGTATCGCCATGCGTGTCGGCAAGCCAGAGCGCCTAAATCTTGTGGCGCGACTTCTTCCCGACACGCCATATCCGCTGAAGAAACCGTGAGTGTGTTGGCATGATGCTCTCATCCACGTAGACGTTACCTTGTGAATCGATGGATGTGCGCGCTTTCAAACACAGTGAGCGAAAGAGAGAGATGGAAGAAAGAGACAGGAAAGAGAGAGAGAGAGAAGAGAGAGAAGAGAGAGAGAGAGAAGAGAGAGAGAGAGAGAGAAGAAGAGAGAGAGAGAGAGAAGAGCGAGAGAGAGGAGAAGAGAGAGAGAGAGAGAGAGAGAGAGAGAGAGAGAGAGAGAGAGAGAGATACCGTAGCGGTCGTTCTCTTCGTGGAAAGAGATGCCGGATTATAAGAAGAAGGACAGAAAGATGAAGGGAAGGTGGCGGTTGTAGAAGAGGTGAGAGACAAATGAGGAGGATGAACAGGAGAATGAGGAGAGAGAATAGTTGGGGGAGGCGAAGGAGGAGATGGGGGAAGAGGAGGAGAATGATGATGAGGATGAGAAGGAGAAGAATAGGAAGGAGGAGGAGGAGAAAGAGGTGGAGGAGGAGAGGAATCAAACTAGCAGCAGCATGCATACGTGTGTGTAAGGCATGTTGTTAACGATCTCACCTCTTCCCTCGGCGTGTATCTTATTGATGGGTATCCGCCCCCTTCCCTGCTGCGGTGTGTGGGAACCAGACGCCGTGCATCTAACACTGTCGTGCTTGCCTACTTGCCTGCCTGTCAGCCTGCTTGCCCCACCTGCCAGCTTGCTTGCCCTGCCTGGCTGCATGCCTGTCTGCCTGTCCGTCTGCCTGCTTGCTCTCCGTTCCTGCTTGCTCTCCGCCTACCTGCCACCAGCTTGCCTGCTTGCCTGCATATCTGCCTGCTTGACTGCATGCCTGCCTGCATGGCCGTCTGCCTGCCTGCCTGCCTGATTGCCTGCCTGCGCACCGTCCTGCTCGTATGCCTGCCTGTGTGTGCGAGAGAGAGAGAGAGCGTGTATCGGCCACCCACGCCAGGCATCGGGCGAGCGAGCAGGCACTTCGACGAATGATGTATATTTATTTTACCTCCAAGCTACGTCTGTCCTCGTGGTGGCTTCTCGCTTTTCCCCTCTCTCTCTCCTCGCTTGCGTTTCATAGCAATAAATCACGATCAAGAGCTCGTATATAACGAACTCCCTGCTTCGCTGACACCCTACCTACTCCCTCAGCGAATTCCCCATCCCTCCCCATCCTCCGACCTGTATTCGTATGTATGATTCCATGCTCCATTGGCACCTTGCCTGCACCCGCCCCGCATGTATGTCCGATGCTATCACTGACGCAGAGGCAGAGGAATCTCACACATTGCGAGGCCCCCTATGTATGTATGTATATATATATATATATATGTAT